GATGATGATGATGATGATGATGATGATGATGATGATGATGCTGATGATGATGTTGATGATGATGCTGATGATTGATGATTGATGATAGATGATTGATGGTTGATGATTGACGATTGCTGGTTGATGGTTGATGATTGATGATGCTGATGGTGATGCTGATGATGAGGAGGAGGAGGAAGAGGAGGAGGAGGAGGAGGAGGAGGAGGAGGAGGGAGGAGGACGAGGAGGAGGAGGATGAGAAGGTGGAGGAGGAGGACGAGGAGGAGGAGGAGGAGGAAGTGGAGGAGGAGGGGGCGGTTTTGGGCCTCGATGAATGGTTCCGCCCAGGTGCACTCGGATTGCGGTGCCGCGCGCACCCGGGGAGTGCCCCAGCATATACCCGGACGGAGGTTTCTCTCGTCGTTTTCGGCCTCTGGAGGCCCTCGCCGGGCCCCCGGACTTTGAAACAACGACGCAGGGTGATCAGAGGCGACGATCGGGGCGAATAGCCCAGAGGAGATAAATACATGTATTCAGGTGCGCCGATGATCGATGCCTTCGAAAAGGCTCCTGGGCGAATACGTGTAATGCCCGCCCCTGGGCTATTCGCCCCTATCGTCGCCGCCGAGGTAGAAATCCGACCCCGGGGAAAGGGTCGGGACTTCCGGGGACGCCGCACTGAAAACATCAGGACGTCGCATGTCTGGGTATACGTAATTATCCACTGCCTCCTGGGCAAGCCAGTGGAGAATGTGGCGCGTACACTGCCGCTGGGTTCAGGATTGGCCTGGCCAGGGAGCAGCGGATATGCACAGATTTCGTCGCCCTGCCTCATCGAGGATAAGAGAACCCAATAACTTTACTCACATGGTGAGGATGTGGCCTCACCTAGGTCCCCGTCACTGCACCAGGGATCGGAGTTCTGGGCGGCTTGGTTTGATACATCTTCAGGAAAAAAAAAAAGCCATACCTCTATTGTTTTTGGTCCTCCTTACCTAGGTCCCCTCCCAAAGGGTTCTCGGTCCTTCTGTTGCTAATCGCTGCCTCTTCGTCCGGCCCGAGACGCGGAGGCTCGGGGAAGAGGACCTCGGAGGCCCGCGGAGGCCTCCAGAGGCCCTCGGGGGCCCTCGCAGAGAGCTCGCGGCGGCCCTCTCGGCTGCGGGCCCCGTCCCCTTGGGAGGACTCCCTCCATCCTCTCTCCGCTTACTCCTCCTCATCCTCCTTCCTCCTCCTCCTCCCCCTCCTCCCTCCTCCTCCCTCCATTCCTTTTCCTCATCGATGCCTTCTCCCTGTCGCACCCCTTCTTAGGGCGGGCTGGGCGTTTCGCCCGATATTTCCTTATCATTTACGGCCCTGAGGCTTAATGTTTGGCATCTGTTTCACAGATGGAGGGCGGTCCGCTTTCAAAATGTGCTTCTCGCCCCAGTGCCGCGCACATTCGCTTTCAAAATTTGCAACAGGAGTTTCACGGATTGAGGTCGAATCCTTTTCTCAATGTGGCTCTCGCCTTAGTGCCGCGCGCATTCGTTTTTTAGGGGAATTTGCAAGCGTTTCGCGGATGGAGGGTGGTTCCTTTTCAAAATGTGGTTCTCGCCTTAGCGCCGCGCGCATTCGTTTTTTGTTTAGGATTCAGGATTAGGAGGGTGCAACAGTTACGTTGATTCGCGGCATTTACGTCCCAGGACTGGCGTTCTGGCGCGATTCAGGATCTTCACGACGCAACAGTCAGGTTGATCCGTGGCGTTGGAATGCTGAGAACAATGTTGTGGCATGCTTCAGGGTCTTCAAACGGTTGTCTTCCAACGAGGCAGTTCCCTTAGTGGAAATGAGCCGTTGTAGGGGCTTATGAAGACAAAGAGAGAGAGAGAGAGAGCTTGGAGCGAGGGTTTACTCCAACATCCATCGTTGATGACTCTTGTGTTAACCCTAGTCCTCCTCCTCCTCCTCCTCCTCCTTCTCCCTCCTCGTCCTTCACCTCCTCCTCCTCCTCCTCCTCCTCCTCTTTCTCCTCCTTCTCCTGCTCATCCTCCTTCTCCTCCTCCTCCTCCTCCTCCTTCTCCTCCTCGCCCTCCCCTGTGGGAGGGCTCCGCGAGCGCGGCTTGTTCTCTCCGAGGGCAGTCCTGCCATCAAAGCGGGCGCCCGCGCGGACCCAGAGACCCGAGGATCTGATTTTTTCCATCCGGCGGCCTTCCTGGATTCCGGCCTCCAGGACCCGCGATCGGACCGGGGGGCCATCAGAAACGGTTCTGGGACGACAAACCGCCCCTGGGGAAGGGATCGGGACCTCCTTGGGGCCGCGGATCGACAAAAGTCGGATCGGCGGACGTCTGGGGAGAGACAGGCGATGGATGCGAAGATTTTGTTGGCAGGCCAGAGCGCGTCGGCACCAACGCCGGGCCCCTCCCCCGCAGCACTTCCTGCTTCCTTTGGGGGAGCGAGAAATGGCATAAGCATGAAGACTCGGAGGTCCGCGCGGATTTCTCGGATCGGCGCTGGACCCCCTCCCTCTCCCTGGCGCAGGGAGCGCGCCAGGGGCGGCGCCGGAGGCGCCGCCAAGGGGGTCCAGCGCGGATCCGAGAAATCCGCGCGCACCTCCGAGTTTTGATGTTTATGCCGTTGCTCGTTCCCCTATTCCTGCTTTCCTCGGCTACACGCCAGAGTGAGTTTTCGCTGGAGTGACCGTCGGTGCGGCCCCAGTGGGGTCCCCCGGTCGCCGAACGCGAAGCGGTAGCAGCGTCGTGCCTTCCTGCGTCTGGTCCCCTCGGCGGCCCCCCCAAAAAGGCCGCGCACCAAAGGTTGCTCTGACCCAGGGTCACTCTTGCGTGTACGTAGTCGCTTCCCCTTCCTTCAGGAGGGTGAGGCGGGAGGGGCGGACGTCCCCCACGCTGGTGGCCCGCGGCTCGGCGAGTCTCGCCGGCGGCGGCCAGCAGCGTCGCCCGTGGGCTCATGGCTGAGCTCCTGGTGCTCTTCGCTGCCTCTCCGCCTCCTCTATCAGGAGGGGAAAAAACACAGATACAATTAATCGGCGATTCCCCAGAATACATGGGAAAATATGGGAAGTGGGGGGGAAGACAGAAGCCCAGAAACTATAGGAAAATATGGGGAGTATTTTATTTGTGTGTATTTATTTGTGTGTCCTGGGGCCCCTTCACTCTAGGGGCACGAGAAATGACATAAACATAAAACTCGGAGGTCCGCGCGGATTTCTCGGATTGGCGCTGGACCCCCCTCCCTCTCCCTGGCGCGCGGAGCGCGCCAGGGGCGGCGCCGGAGGCGCCGCCAAGGGGGTCCAGCGCGGATCCGAGAAATCCGCGCGGACCTCCGAGTTTTTATGTTTATGTCATTGTTCGTTTCCCTATCCTCCTGCCTCCCCTCGCGGCGGCGAGCGAGGAGGGGAATGGAAGGGAGCAGAGAGAGAGCCTTCGCAGAGGGCGGCGGGGCTTCTCAGAAGCCCTGGCGCCTGCCGAGAAATGTTCGGTGTCTTCGGGGGAAGCTCCACCAGACTTCTGCCATGGCCGGGGGCCCTTGCGAGCCTTCTGGGAAGGCCCGCCCCTTCTCAGCTCCACCCGGGCCCGCCGCCGATCCTCCTGTCTCTGCTCCTCCTCTTCGTCCGCCTCTTCCTGCTCCTTCTCCTCTTTTCCGCCTCCTCGTGCTCTTCCTCCCGCTCCTGCTCCTCCGCCTCTCCTCCTCTTCTCCTCCTCCTCTTCCTCGTCCTACCTCTCCTCCTCCCCTTCCTCCCCTTCCTCCTCCTCCTCCTCCTCCTTCTCATTCTCCTCTTCTTCCTTCTCCTCCTCCCCCTTTTCCTCTTCCTTGTAAACAATGCTTCCTTGTCGCACCCCGAGGCCGGTCGAAACAGGCCTTTCGCTTGAGATTTCCTCACCATGTATGTCCCTGATGCTGGAAATTGAACCACCGTTTTACATTTTGATGGCGGGTGGTTTTCAAGATGTGGCTCTCGCCTTAGCGCCATGCACATTCGTTTTTAAGACTTGCAAGCGTTTCACATTTTAAGGGCGGGTCGTTTTCGAACTTTGGCTCTCGTCTCAGCGCCGCGCAAATTCGGTTTAAACATCTGCAAGAGTTTCACTGATTGAGGGTGGATCGTTTTCAAAATGTGGCTCCGGCCTCAGCTCCGCGCGCACTGGTTTCTTAACACATGCAAGAGCTTCACGGATAGAGGGCGGTTAGTTTTCAATTGTTAGCGACGCGCACATTCGTTTCGCAAAGTTTCAAGAGTTTCACGTATTGAGGGCAGGTCGTTTTCAAAATGTGGTTCTCGCCTTCGCGCCGCGCACATTCTTTGTTTACAAGTTGCAAGGGTTTCACGGATTGAGGGCGATTTGTTTTCAACATGTGGTTTTCACCTCAGCGCCGCTCACATTCGGTTTACATAGTTGTAAACGTTTCACGGATTGAGTGCGGGCCGTTTTCAAAGTATGGTTCTCGCCTTAGCGCCGCTTACATGGATTGTAACATGTTGCAGGAACTGCACGGATTGAGGGCGATTCGTTTGCAACATGTGGCTCACGCCTCAGCACCGCGCAGGTTCGTTGTAAGCACTTGCAAAAGTTTCGTTGGTTCGCAAGGTTAACGTACCAGACATGGTGTTGTGGAACGATTCAGGATTGTCTGGGCGCAACACTTACGGTGACTCGCGGTGCTGAAGTCCCAGGAATCGTGTCCTGGCACGATTCAGGGTCGCCACGACGTAAGAGTCAGGTCAATTCGTGGCGTTGAAGTCCTGAGAGTTTTCTTTTGGCAAGCTTCAAGATGTTCACACAGTTGTCCCCCAACGGGGCAATCCCTGCAGTGGAGATGACCCTGTGCAGGGGCCCATGCAGAGGGATCTTGGGGGGAGGTTGTATTTCAACATCGTTGATGAGTCTTAGGCTTGCGCTGGTCCTCCTCCTCCTCCTCCTCCTCCTCCTCCTCCTCCTCTTCGTCCTCTTCTTCTTCCCACCGTTCCTCCCGCTTTCCTCTTGCTCGAGAGCGGGGGTCAGCGGGCAGGGGCACCCTTGCAGGTGTGCGACGCGCACTCCCTGATCCCGCGCGAGTTTGTGGAGATGGGCCTCGGCATCTTTCACAAGGTGCCGTACCAGACCGCCATGAGGCACCACATTCCCCTGGAGGCCGTGGATGAGTAGGAGGAGGAGGAGGGGCATGGGGAGGACAAGGACGATGCGGCGGGAATCTAGCATGAGACAGAGAACGATCGATACATAGATGAGATACCTACGCAGATATCGGATGGTCTTCGGCCCATCCCGGCACCGAGCCTGCGTTGTGGGTCAGAGTTCTCTGGGGTGCTTCTTCGGGTCTCTTCAGAGCGCTTTCGGGGCCTCTTGGGAGCAGTTTTGGGGTCTCTCTTGGAGCTTCTTGGGGGCCTCCTGGGGTCCTCTCTTGGGGTCTTCTTGGAGCTTGATGGGGGCCTCTTGGGGGCCTCTTGGGGCCTCCTCGGGGCCCTTCGGGGGCCGAGGGCTCGAAATATTCGTTCGGGTTCCCCACCTGGGCCCTCTCTTGGGGCCGTCTTCGGGCCCTCTTGGGCCGTCTTGGGCGCCTCTTGGGCAGTCTTGGGGGGCCTTCAGGGGTCGTCTTGGGGCGATCTTTGGGGCCTCGTGGGCCGTCTTGGAGCCTCGGGAAGCCGAAAAGGCGAGAACACCCAAATCTTTCGCACACCATCAGAAAATAACTGATTTCGGCTTCTTGGGGCCCTTCTGGGAGGCCTCTTGGATGCCTCTTGGGGCGTCTTGGCGGCCTCTTGGGCCGTCTGGGGGCCATCTTGAGCGTCTTGGAACGATCGCTCGGCGACTCTGGGCCCTCTTGGACCGTCCTGGGGGTCTCTCAGAGCTCTCTGGGCCCATCTTGGGGCCCTTTTGGGCAACAGAAAGTCAATGACAAACCGCGGGGAACCGCGACAAGCCCCAGTGGATTTGGCAATTTGGGTTCTGGGCCTCTTAAAGACTGTTCAAGAGTTAGGATTGAGGCTTAGAGGAGTGGGCAGAGGACCTGACGACACACCCACTCCTTGCCCAGCGGCACGGTTCCGGATAGGAGAGGGATGTTGTCATGAGGGCCATGCACATTTTCTGAGCTTCTGAGGGCCTGGCTCCCAATGCCTGACTCCAGTTTCCGAGCGGCCAGCTCATACCAGCGCCCCGGCGCCCACCCGCCGCACCCTCGTAGGGGTCTTGACGCGGGCTCCTGTCTTCTCTTGTCTTGCCATGCACATTTTCATGAAAATGAGGATGGAAAGGGAGGAGTAGTACCACGTGGAGGAGTTGGGAGGAGGAGGAGGAGGAGGAGGAGGAGGAGGAGAAAGAGGAGGAGGAGGAGGAGGAGGAGGAGGAGGAGGAGGAGGAGGAGGAGGAGGAGGAGAGGGAGGAGGAGGAGGAGGAGGAGGAGGAGGAGGAGCAGCAGAGGAGGCCAAGGACCTCCCTGCCTTGGAGGGCCCAGTCGGCCTGCTTCTAGGACATCAAGATTTCGGGCCTAGGCCAAATACCGTTCTCACGTTCTAGCCACAAGCTTCTATGGACACATTGGGTGCCGTGACAGTCATAGACACTTTCAGGGTTGATACGTTTATGGGCAACGTGGCCGTTGTGTTCGGCGCGGTGCAAGGTCGGAGAAAGGGTCGACCCGTCTACGGTATGTTCCTGTTCTACCACATGGTACTCCAATCCCTGGTTGCATGTCAACGACACAACTCATTGCTGCGCAGGAAAAATACTTTAGGCTCCAAGAACCACAGGCGAGACTTACGCCCACCGCCGCAAACGAAACAACTTGGCATCATGGCAGGTGCCAACTGAAACCTCTTTCAGGCTGATGTCCGTCGAGGGCCATCGAAGAAGGAGGGTAATGATGATGACGAGGAGGTTGAGGATGAGCATGTTGAATCGTGGGTCTTGGCTTGAGGATGTATCCCTTGCTTGTTTGTCTGTCCTTTTACCATTGTTTCTGAAACCGCCTGTGTTCATTACCCAGACCCGCAGATCGGGCTCTGCTGCGAGGAATGAGCCTCCCAGCGACGTCCCCAGCAGGAGGAGGAGGAGGAGGAGGAGGAGGAGGAGGAAGGGGAGGAGGAGGAAGGGGAGGAGGAGGAGAAATAAGTGGATGCATCTCGTCGGGCGGAGGAGGAGGAGAAGCAGGAAGAGGAGGAGGAGGAGGAGAAGGAGGAGAAGGAGGAGGATGAGGAGGAGGAGGAAGGAACCTGGCAGCTTTTCAGCGGGACGTTGCAGTGCGGCTTCGCTCCCGGGGACCGCAGCTGGCTGTCCCTCTCTTGGCCCAGATGTCCCCCCCCCAGGTGCTGCGCACCGTGCGTTTCCGTTCTGTATTCATCTCTCTCGCTCTCTCTGTTTGTCTCTCTCTCTCTCTCTCGTTGCGTTGTTGTTTGTTTGGTTTTGCTTGTGTGTGTGTGTGTTCCCCCCCCCTCTCTCTCTCTTCCTTTCGCTCTCTCTCCCTCTCTCTCTCTCCCCCCTCTCGCTCTCGCATGGTACGTATATGTATGCATACCGTTACCTGTGTGCCTATTCCTCTTCCTATCGAAGACGCCTCTGGCGAATCACCGCCGCCCCGTCGATTGTCGCGAAATCGTTGGACTCGAACATCCAAGTCTTACGATCTACGGCAATGCCATTCGTCATATCCCATCATGTGGCAGATATCGGATTCCAACCCGCTTGCAAGAGATAAGCCACCACTGCCAAAACAGGCCCACGTATGCGCCGTGAGCACTGGGCCGCTGGAACTGCCTGCAGATCGGCAACAACTCGAGGCCGCGCTCGTTTGATCCCCGACCGCATGCAAGGTGCAGGAAGCCAAACTTACAACCAGTGCTCCAGACATTGCTTTGGCAAGACCAGTCCTGGATCGCCGTCGGGAAGCCGCCAAGCGAGCAGGGTGGTGGTGCATCGACCCCGCCTGGAAGCGCCCGCTGCTGCAGCCAGCCGCCTTGTCTGAAGCACCACCCTGGAACCGAATACACCACGGACTTGCTCCTCCTCGTCCTCCTCCTCCTCCACCTCCCCCTCCTCCTCCTCCTTCTCCTCCTCCTCCTCTTTCTTTTCCTCCTTGGAACCGAATACACCATAGACCTGGTGTCCGTCAGTCGCCGCTGGCCTGTGGCCCCGCTGCCCGAACAGATTCCGCATGCGCCCATGCCGCCCGGATGCATGGATGAACCTGCGAAGTTTGGCATGCTGTCCGCCTCACGTCGCTGCTCTCTTCCGTGCCGTGTCCCGCGCTCGCCGCTTCCCCGAACTTTGGTCAACTCCAAGATGCGAGCTGTGCAAGGCAGCGGGCATATGAATACGCTTCCGTCGAAGCGAACGGACACCAGCTCGCGCATCCTCAGGCCATGCGCAGGTGATGACACCCTCAGGCGACATCTTCGGCTCTTTCTGCGCAGAGAGCTTGGCTGCCAACGAGACGCCTGTGACCGGAGTGCTGAGGGCAGTGCTGCCGCGACCCGGCCTGCCCGCAACGACGGGTCGTCGACCCAGAGCCGCTCAGACACGTAAACACGCGGCGTGCTCAATCTCACGACAGCCCAAAACGTCGTGCACCGCCCGAGCCGTGTGCCGTTGCGTCGTCCCTGCAATGCTTGAGGATGCCGTATTCTCAGCCGGCGCCTGCGCGAATCGTGACGTGAGCAGGGGGGGCCTCTTCTCTAGATTTGGGCAAGTTTACTTGCATTGCTCTCCCGCCCCCCCCCCCACCACCCCCGCTCGCCCCTCTTCACACGAGCACTGGCGTGCCACGTGCCTTTCGCCCTGCGTGATTTCCGCACGTGCAAGTCGTTTGCGGCTTGCTCCAGGTTCAGCACCCCCTCCCGCCCATGCAAGTTAACTTGCGGGAGTCTCAAAAAACAGGCTCGGGGGGAGGGGGGAGGGAGCGGGCCGGTCACGGGCGTGACCGCGAATCACACAGACGTTGCCTCTTCGGGCCCTCGTGGGGGCTCACTTGGGATGTTCTTGGGGACTATCTTGGTGCCTTTGGGGGTCCCTCTGACGCCATTTGAGGCTACAACGGTCCAACTGAAGCGAACAGGCGAGATGGTTGTCCAGTGTGATGGCCTTTCGGGGCCTTGGAGAGGCTCCGTGGCCATGCCGAGACATTGTGGTTGTCTTGAGCTGTGCTAGAGGCCATCCTGGGTCAATCCTGGCAGCCGCCTGGGGCCATCTTGAGGCTACCTAGGGCCATCTCGAACAATCTAACGCCTCTTGCCCTCCCGTCCAGACCAAGAGGGCGTCGGGGGAGGAGTTTGCCCTTCCCCGAATGGGAAGAAGTGGGTGGTTCGGAAATGAAGATGCTCTAAATCACATACACCCAGAGCGCTGATGAATCTTTGTTGTTACGTATGATCGATGTGCAGGCACCCAGGGCCCCTGAGCGGTCTTCAGAGGAGGATGAGGAGGCGGATCAGGGAGAGGAGGAGGGGGAGGATGATGACGATGATGATGATGCAGATGATGATGATGATGATGATGATGATGATGATGATGATGATGATGATGATGATGATGATGATGATGATGATGATGATGATGATGATGATGATGGTGATGGTGATGGTGATGGTGATGATGATGATGGTGATGGTGGTGGTGGTGATGGTGATGGTGATGATGGTGATGATGATGGTGATGATGATGCTGCTGATGATGCTGATGATGCTGATGATGCTGCTGCTGCTGATGATGATGATGATGATGATGCTGATGCTAATGCTGCTGCTGATGATGATGATGCTGATGATGATGATGATGATCATGCTGATGATGATGCTGATGCTGATGCTGATGCTGATGATGATGAGGAGGAGGAGGAGGAGGAGGAGGAGGAGGAGGAGGATGATAGCAGAGTCGAGGACATCGTGCAACGACTCCGGCGGTCCATGATTCTCAGCGTCAGGGCTACTCTCTTGATCACCCGATGCGCCTGCCAGGGCGTGTATGTCGCCCTCTCGGGGATCGTTTTCGGCGATGTCGTAAAGTCGGACGCCATTATCTTGGAACTTGACGGGGTGCCCTGCAAGGACCTGGCCACGTTCGAGGACGCTGTCAGACAACTCCCCAACAAGGAGCGGCTTCCCGCGGCCGGGAGGAGCGGGGCTCCATTTGGATTCGGATGGTTTTCTGGGTCTCGTGTGGGTTCACACCTTGTATGCTTTTTGACTTCGTGCGTCGCGACGGTGCTCCGCAAAGAAGAGGCTGCTTGCCAGGAGTACTTCAGCGTGGGCTATATGGTCCCGAAGATCGCCAAGGAGAGGAAGAAGACCGTGGCCCCCGTCAAGATGCAGCGCCACTGGCGGGAGGGGTGGGTGGCGGCAGAAGCGGGGGCAGAGGGCGGCTGGCCTCGTCGGGGGCCCGGAGCTGGCGGGCAGCGCGCTCACGAGCAGTCGCCGCGCCCCACCGGGAACGGCTGCCGCCCGACCCCGCACGGGGAGAAGGGAGGAGGAAGGAGGGAAGGGGGGGGAGGAGGAGGGAAGGGGGCAGGAGGAGGAGGAGGAGGATGAGGAGGAGGAGGAGGAGGAGGTTTTTGTTCCTCAGAGGTTTTTTGGGGTTCCAAGAACATGTCGTGGTAGGCCTATAGGAATGCCAGGACCGTCGGTCCCTGCTCAACTGACTGCTTCCACTCTGTGGCCTCGGAGCTCCCGACCGCTCCCCCGGGCGCAGCTCGTCTCTGCCCCGAAGAGATCCGCTTCCGAGGGCCCCGCGGCCCGAGAACGGCCCCCGGAGGCCGACATCGAGGAAGACCTGTGGGCGTCGAGCCACGGAGGTGCGATAACATTGGGGGGGGAAGACAGGTGCACCTTCTGTACCCGAAAGGGGGGCCCAAAAGGAGCCCCCCTGGGGCCCAGCCCCCCTGGGGCCCCGAAAGGCGCACGAAGGGGGCCCCCCCTCAGAGGGCCCCCCCGAAAGGGGCCCCCTGGGGCTTCACAGGGGTACGAAAGGTGCACGTTCCTCCCCTCCCCCCCCGCGCTTACCGCCCCCAGTATTTAGCGCCCGAAGCCTGCCGCCCGCCAGTTTGTGAACCCAAACGCGTCGCCGGAGATGGGCCGGAAGGGGCCGCCTCGAGGGCCGCCCGAGACGGGCCCGAGGCCGCAGAGCCGACGGGGGAGAGCCCTGCAGCCCGGCGCTGCGAACACTTCGTGGTGCCATCGCGAGGAAGCACGTCGGGATCGCGGGGAGGGCGCGAGGGGAAGGGGAGGAGATGGACGTGGGGGAGGAGGAGGGGGAGGGGGGGGAGGAGGAGGAGGAGGAGGAGGAGGAGGAGGAGGAGGAGGAGGAGGAGGAGGAGGAGAAGAGGAGGAGCGAGGAGGAGGAGGAGGAGGAGGAGGAGGAAGTGGAGGAGGAGGAGGAGGAGGAGGAGGAGGAGGAGGAGGAGAAGGCATTCGCCACGAGGAAAATGAAAGGATGAGGAGGAGGAGGAGGAGGAGGGGAAAATGAGAGGAGGAGGAGGAGGCGGAGGAGGAGGAGGAGGATTACACAAAGACGAGACTATGAGCTCGCTCAAAGGTTGCCCACAGCAAAAATGAGGACACGATAAGACGCTGAAGTGAGGGCCGCCTTGGGTTCGTAAGGGGCTCGCTGTGCCTCCGGTCGTTCCGTGGTTGCTCCTCCAGCCCTGTTCGTGCACTGCGGCTCTTCTCTTGACGGCAAACGGGGCGTCGTTCTTTATCCAGCGTTTCTGAGCCGGATCGATCTGCGATGGTCCCGGGGCCCAGAGCTTGGGGGGCACGCTTGGTGTGCAACACGTTGCAGCGGAGGAGGAGACTCGGCCACGCGCAGAGGGGGGTAGGGGAGGGGGAAGCCTTCTTAGACGCACCCCTGTTTCTTAGAAGGCGCGGGCCTTGTCTGTAGATGTAGGGCCGCCGCCTTCCAAGAGCAGCCTCCTAAGAAGCTTTCCCCCCTCCCCCTACCCCCTTTTGTGTGCCGCCAATTCAGGGCAGGAGGAGGAGGAGGACGAGGAGGAGGAGACGAGGGAGGAGTCCCCCCCCGCGGAGATCCTCGGCAGTTTGACCTTCGCTGGGTGAGTGGCTGGAGTGGTACCAGGGCGTTAATCCGTCTCACATGTTGTACCGCATCTTCGGGGGACTTTGTCTGTCCCGTCGCGCCGCGATCCGTGTCGAATCCATGTCGAGTCTGTGTTGAGCGCGTCGAATCCGTGTCGAATCTGCGTCGAATACACGTCGAATCCGCGTCGAACCCGTGCTGGAGTCGAAGAGAAGACTGCCACTTACAGTGCTGGAAAGGTCCCCCGAAGATGCAACATAACACATGCCGCGATAGAGATCGGGGGGGAATGGGCACGATATGTCCTTTTGTCCTCGCCTGCGTGGGCATGACCACCATGTCAAGCATCGCCTCACACTCAGCATTCTGTGGCCGCAGCCGTCTAGGGTTAGAAAGTCCAGGTTTTGCTAGAGATCGTTTTTTATCCTAAGTGGCCGAAGCTTCTGGAGCACCACCCAAAAATCCTCCCAGAAAGGGTCCAGGAGGCCGTTCGGATGGTTTCGGGAGGATTTCCGGAGGGTTTCGGTCGTTTTGGGGGGAAGCCAGTCCCTAGCGAATCCGGGATGCTCTAAAAGTCTAGGGGCGAACCGCGTCTTCTTCGAGGCAGCCCCCCGAAGCTTGAAGCGCAGGGGTCCTCATCAAAAATCCCCCCCGCCGACCTTCGCGCTTGCCGAGTGATTCTGCCGCCAGGTGTGTTCGCACACGCGCTGATGAGTGCGGCACAGCCAGTCTATTCTGTTAGCATCGTGCAGAGTACAGTGGATTCATGCGGCGTTGGTGCGCCGTCGACGCCGGCGAAGGCGCTCACTCAGGCTTGAAGTCTGCGACGCGGACGCACCGATTGACGCGGCAACGCCACTGGTCAGGAGGGGAAAAAACACAGACACAATGAATCGCCGATTCCCAAGAAAATATGGGAAAATATGGGACTCGGGGGGGAAGACAGAAACCCAGAAAATATGGGAAAATATTGGAAATATTTTTATTTGTGTGTATTTATTTGTGTGTCCCAGGGCCCCTTCAACTGGACCCGACGGCATTCGACCTCGAACGATCGGGGCTGCGATCATCGGTGGAAGGTCGAACGATCGACGTGGTGTCAAAAACCTTTGCGCACGGCGACGCCGCACGGACCTGTCGTAACTATTAATGAGGGGAAAAACACACAGACACAATTAATCGACGACTCCCCAGAAAATATGGGAAAATATGGGAAGTGGGGGGGAAGACAAGACAGAAACCCAGAAAAGATGGGAAAATATGGGGGATCCTGTTATTTGTGTGTATTTATTTGTGTGTCCCAGGGCCCCTTCAACATGTTTCTTGCCGTCTCTTGACCAGCTTGCTGGAAGGCTGGCCCAGTTTCTGGAGCACGTTCGCCCCCCTAGCGTCACAGCGACAGAGCTGGGCCCAGGCCCGTTGCACGAAGGCTCCGGGAGCCGGCCCGGATTTCTTACACGACACCTTTCCTGAACACCTGTTCGGCTGTGTTGTGTTAGCAGCGTGCAGCGTAGCGTATCCAGTGCCCGTCGGTCGTTGAAAGTAGGTACACGCCGGAAGTAGGTATTTTTGGATTCCCAGATCCCAGTATACTTCGAGCGTCTTCCTACTTCAAGAATCGACATGTTTTTGCTGTGTTTTGTTATTCTCTGGGGGGGCCTGGACCCAATCAACTTAATCCGCCTTCCTACTTCATGTTTTTACCTACCTCTTCCGACAGGCGTGTATTTGTTAGATTTTCGGATCCAGATGTATTTTAGGCGCCTTCCTACTTCATGATCGAGCGGTCTCACCTGTCTTTCCTCTTTTCGGGGGGCGGGTGGAAGCTGCCCAACCTGCTTCCAACGCCTTCCCACTTCCCCGAGATCCGATGTCGCCCCCAAAGATGCAACATCGGACGACTCACCACCAGATCCCCGGACCCCATCTTTCTACCACCAGAGCCCCGGACCCCATCTTTCTGCGGCATTGTTCTCGGGGGCGGAAAAGAGGGGGGTGATGACTAGGGGGGGGGTGGATTTCATGGCGGGGGCCATGATGTTTCCCCAGATTTCATGGCGCCTCTTCTTATTCCATTACGTCCCTGGCCCCCCCGCTGGGCCGCGCACATGCCGCAGGTCATGATTTGACCCCCCCCTCTTGGACCCCCCCCTCTTGGCCGCTCCCGACAGAGCCCCGGGCCCCATCTTTCCGCGGCATTTTTTCGAGCCAGATCGCTCTGTGAGGGTCCCCGTGGCCCGAACCGGATCGGGCGAGAGCGCCCGCTGCTGTGAAAAAACTTGCAGCGCCAGGAGCTCAGGGAATTCGTCTTTCTGCCCACTTCTTCTGGCCGACGGGTACTTGGGCAGCTTCCCTCTGGACGCCCGAGATGGGCACGGAAAGAATGGGTACGATGCCCAACAGCAGTTCCTGTTCATTCTGAACAGGATTCGCTGTTCACGCCGCCGCGGCCTGTGTCCATTCGAGACAGAAGGCCGCCTGCCCAACAGCGGCCGCTGTTGGTTTGGGACAACATTTGTTGTTGGGCATTGTACCTATTTTTTCCGTACCCATTTCGGGCGTCCAAATTCCCGCCCCATTCCGCTGCCGTCGGGGGCGGCCAAGAGGGCGGTGATGATTTTTGTCGGGGGGGATCTCATGGAGGCGGCCACGACCTCTCCCCAGATCTCATGGCGCCTCGTGTAATGTCAATCCGTCCCTGCCCCCCCCCCCCCGGGCCGCGCACATGCCGCCGGCCATGATTTGCGCCCCCCCTTCTTGGACGCTCCCCTCTTGGCCGCCCCCGAAATCTGACGTTGCGAACAACATTGCGACATCGTGAGAAATCATGACCGGGGCCCCAGACCCCATTTCTTTTTGCGTCCTCTCTCGCGCCAGATCGATATGTGAGGGTCCCCTGGGGCCCCGAAGCCAGGCCGAAACGCCCGCTGCGAAAAGTTGCAGCGCACGGATACCAGGGTACCACTACCATTGTCAAGTAGTGTCTAAGAACCTTTTGTGGTTTCCACGAAATGTTCTTAGAACATTTCTGGCGGAGCCTGTCTTGGTTTATGGCATCGGGTGTATGGTCTAAGAACATTGTTTTTGTCCTTAGAACCTTTTCGGGTTCTAAGAACATTTCGTGGCAGGACTATAGGAATGCAGGGACGGCCGGTCCCTGCTCAACATTTGGGGAGACCAAGAGGTACCGATAATTAGTGCTACTCTCCCGGGGCGCGTCCCGACCAGACTTTCCCAGGCGAAGCCTGCGGGGGCGGCGAGGGCGTCCGAGGAGGCCACAGCGAGAGGGGACGACAACGAGCGACGGGTGGAGGCGTGGCTATGCCTCGTCCTCCTCGGGCCAGGGGGGCCTGGGAGCCGAGCGAGAGCGCCCGGCGGGAGAGACCCGCAGCTGCCCAGACCTCTCGGTGGCCGACCCGGGCGGGGCCGCGATGCAGCCCGTGGTCGAGTGTTTTTTGTTCGCACGAGGAAGCCCCGGCGAGCTTTTGCGTGCAGGGGGGGTACCTTTTTGGTCCTCCTCCTGGGACGCCCCCCTCTGCGTATTTTGTTCGCACGAGAAAGCTCAGGCGAGCTTTTGCGTGCAGGGGGGGGTACCTTTCTGGTCCTCTTCCTGGGACGCCCCCCCCTCTCTGGCACGCCCCCCGGGTCCGCTCCCCGGCGGCCTCGGCAGGTGGACCTTCCGCGCCTGGGCGCTGCGCCCCTCCACGCACAGCTGGGCCGCGCGGCTCCTGCAGCCCGCGCCGCCGCCCGCGCCGCCGCCCGCCGAGCCCGAGCCCGAGGAGCGGGGGGCAGACCTCCGGGGGGGGGACGCGTGGGGGAGGGGGCAACAGAGGAGGAGGAGGCGGAGGAGGAGGGACGCGGAGGAGGAGGAGGAGGAGGAGGAGGGGAGGGGGAGGAGGAGGAGGAGGCAGGGAGGGAGGCAGGGAGGGAGGGAGGGAGGGAGGGAGGGAGGGAAGAGGAGGAGGAGGAGGAGGAGGAGGAGGAGGAGGAAGAGGAGGAGGAGGAGGAGGAGGAGGAGGAGGCTAGGTCTCCCAGACGGGGTCGGACTAGATGGGGTCGGAGGATCGCGCTGCATCGCCGGCGTACCGACAGACCGCAGGGCTCAATTCGACTCCTCCGATCCGGTTCGACTCCATTTCGACGGCTTCCGATCGCGCTGCGTTCCGATGTTCTGGATTCCAGCTTCTGGATTCCGATTCCTCCATGGAGGCTTGTACCAGCCTTGCCGATTTCCGCAGAGTCGACGTTTCCCGACTCGGCTGCCGATTTCCGCCGATCTGATTCATGTCGATCGCCGATCCGAATTACCGATTCGATTCTGGGCTTTCTT